TTTTAAAAATAAATTTCCCCTTTAAATCTCTTGAGCGATTTTCATTTTTTGCAAGGCCGCACTGCTGGTGTCCTGGAAAAATGGAGAGTTAGAGCTTTATCAGTTGGTGCCCTGAGGTATGTGGCAAAGAAGCTAAATCCTTGAAGATTAGCAAAAAAAATGCAGCACATGGCAATAAGGGGCTTATATGACTACTAGTATTAGTTCAGGTGAAAGCAGTATTGCTTATACATAAAACTGGACAAATCCACTGACAATGTATTTTTAGTTAGCTACAAAGGAGTCTTCTATTACTGGACTTTGCTCTTTGGTGGATTGGGAAGCTTAGTAATCCACTGTAAATGCTCTGCGTGCCCCAATTCTCAGCTCACTCTCAAGTGCAGTGCTTTTATTTTAACCCTTAGAAGCTCATGTTGTCCCCAGAGTTTGGCTTCATGCCATTAAAAGATGGCCTTAGTCATATGGGTTAAGTAATTCAAATAATTGTCATTTAGTTTATTGACTTCTGGGAAAGACACATGAGAAATCACTTTGTGAGTGCAGGACATGTCTTTGTTTTTATTTAAGTAGGCGTTTGGATAAAGTTAATGTAAATGGAAGTCTGGTAAGAAATTTTAATTTAGTGATGGTGTTTTCTATATCTGTATTAGCATCCGCATTAATCTTTTTTTATACTCGCTTGAATATTATCTTTAGGTTAAATCCTATTTAGCTTCTTTAAGAACGAAACTAAGGTTTTAAGTGTTTGTAGGGAGGGTTACAGTCCTGGTTTGCCTAGGAAAGTCCCAGTTTACACACTTTTGTGGTGTAAATAGCTCCCACTTTCACTCTCAAAGGTGTCTCTGGATAATATGGTCACCCTAATTTTACCCTAAGATAAAATTTGGAGCTGAGGTAACGGGTTCTGAATCATTCGTTAATTCCACAAGTTTACGAAATATCTTTTGTCTTCAGGGCACATCCACATGCCATTTTTAATTGGACTTACAAAATGTTTCTCAATTTTTGTTTATTTTTTTACATATCATATCGTTTAACTTTTTAAAACAGTAGGACATAAATAAACCATGTCTTGATTCTCTTATCCTGACGAGGTACTCAAGAGGACATCAAAACCCCAGCCAGTTTAGTTGAATGGAGGTGAGACCAAAGTCAATCACTATTTCCATATGAACTAGTGAGCCTTACATAGAGAAAAAGTATTTTACAACCAATGCTAGGGCCACATGAGTCCTCATTCGGTTAAGAATCTGACTCTTGATTTTGGCTCAGGTCATGATCTCAGGGTCGTGAGATTGAGCCTCATGTCGGGCTCTGCGCTGGGCATGGAGCCTACTTAAGGCTCTCTCTCTCTCCCTCTCCCTCGCCCCTCACTTCCGCTGCCCCCCTCTCTCTGCCTCTCTGAAAAACAACAGCCAACCCTAGCCATCTCACAAATATATGTCATTTATCATAAAAGACATTTATACAGAAAGTGAATAAACAGCTCCACGTAAGACCCCAGCATTACCAGAACAAAGGACTCAGCAGCATGGTAGAGGTGAGGGTGAATTTAGTGTCAGGAGACCTACAGGTAGACCATTTACTTACTTAACTTTTTCACTCTGGGCAAACCACTGATTCCTTCTGGTCCCCAGTACTTGGGGATGATAATACCTTCCATACCCAACTTAACACGGAGTTCAAAGAGCAAATTGGATCCTGGATATGGAACACATTTTGTGTTATGCAAGTGTGAGTTATAATTACTGTATAGTGTGGTAATAGAGATGAACCAAATGACGATGAGGAGCATAATAATAGTAAAGATATTTTTCAAGGTAAAGCAACTTTATTTTTAAATAAAGCTTAAAAAAAAAGGTTAAGTGCTTTAATAATAGTATTGCAGGCTGAAGGAATGTGGAGTATTACTCATCATTTATGACCATATGACCCTAAAGATTTTTAGAATTAAAAAAATATCGGAACTTTATGTAATTTTCCATTCTCTGAAACAAAACAACTGAATCCAATGCTAGTTTTGCGGTTTGTGTGACCTTAGAACAGAAAAAGGAAAAGGAAAAATGATTGCTTCATGTATGATCAGTTTCCCTGTAAAACAGAAACCCTAATGCCTACCCCACATGTTTGTTAAAAAACCTATATGAGAACATCTGAAAAATATCCAACCACAATGCCTGGCAAGTAGTAAGTCGTTTAAAATGTTTGTTTGTTTTGGATATATTTGTTTGTTCTTCCACAGATAATACAGAAAGGTGAGAAAAATAGAGAAATCTTAATAGTTTACAAAATAGACCAAACCATTGGTTTTCAGATTTGGTTAGATCTGGAGCTCTCTGTTAAAAAAGGAATGGGGGGAAGTGGATGCAAGCCCTAGCTGGTTGTCCATGGGTCTTGCTCTGACCACACCCCAGTGGCCCCTGGTCCCCTAGGGCTTTAAGGAGAACCACTGGACATACTGTCCAAAGAACTGGGCAAATGGAGGAGACATGCGCCAAAAGTGAGAACATTTGGAGGAGCAGGTTTTTGTGGGGAAGTTGATAAGTTAAAGTTTAGATGTGGTGAGATGAAACACAGGAAATTGTGCTCAAAATGTTCAGTAGGCAATATTGTATTTTGGTCTTAACTTCAATCAGTGCTAGTCTGGAGACGGAGGTTTTGAAGACATGACATATTGTAAAAACCTTCGATTAAAACCATGAACATGGATGAGCTCACTGAAGAAAGTGTCGAGGGACAAGGGGAGGGGGCCAAATAAGATTAGGCAAAGGCAGAGGACCTAGTAGAGGAGAAGGAAGGAGTGTGATAAGATCCCCAGTGGAGGGTGCCTGGGTGGCTCAGTTGGTTAAGTGACTGCCTTCGGCTCAGGTCATGATCCTGGAGGCCCGGGATCGAGTCCCACATCGGGCTCCCTGCTCAGCAGGGAGTCTGCCTCTCCCTCTGACCTTCTTCCCTCTCATGCTCTCTCTCTACCATTCTCTCTCTCTCTCTCTCAATAAATAAATAAATAAATAAATATGAGGATTGCTAATTCAGCTTTATTTAAAAAAAAAAAAAAAAATCCCCAGTGGAAAATATACCAAGAAACGATTGATGTCTGAGGAGAGTGGTTTCAGTGGCCTGCTTGGGGGAGAAAGTAGCTTGGAGTGGGTTGAGGAATGAGTTAAGTGAAGAAGGAGGCAGATGTGAGACTGAAAAATATAAGAGGTTGTCAGGGAGAGGCTGAAGGGCAGGCAGGTTTTTTAAGATCGTTGAGCACATTTAAAAGCTAGCAGAAAATTGTGGAACTGCAAAGTTGAAGATGCCTATGGGAGAAGGAAGTTTCCTCAAGATACCAGAGGAGACGGACTCTGGTATAGTTGTTGATGCAGAGAAGTCTGTAGGTCTGTAGGGGCTGAAGAAGCTCTCCTGCCTGGTGGCCTCGATGTTTTTTTCCTGTGGAGCCTGAGGGGCAAAAGAGGAAAGGAAATCACGGGAGACAGGTCTGGAAAGAGGTAAGGGTTTGAAATCCTCGCTTCAGATACCTTCTTCCACTGCACTTAGGTTATGTCAGCGCCTGTGATAGGCCCTGCGAAGCAGCAGTAAGTAAGCAAAACCAATATGGTCTCTGCCCTCACCTAGCTGAGCTGTAAACCAAATAAACAGCATTGAAGGCATAGACGGAACTCGAGGTTCTGATGGTAGACGTTTATGTGGTCTTGAAAATTTCCTTTGGAATTACATGGTGCCCTTGAGGATGATTTCAGATTGGTCCTGGACAGATGGCGAAATAACCAAGAGGCAGGGAGTTGAGGGTGCTTGAGTTGCTAACTCTGTAAGTATTCGAGTGCCTCCTGCGTGCGGGCACTGTTCAAGAGAATGGTCGAAACCACAGGTCTTGATGTGACGATGGATTTAAAAACAATCAAAAAAAAACTCCGGGGGGATAGTTAAAAACATATGAAAAAATAGTAAATTTGATCGATGTGCAATACAGTAATTAGACAATTGAGCATTATGTTATAGATTCATTCCCCTTTTAGAACTACCACACTGTCCTGTTAGGATTTAATTCTTGGGCTTCAAATGTGTAAGTCAGTGGTTTGCAGCTAGTTATCACAGGGACTAGCAGGGTACTGTTGGCAGGTGGCAGGACCCCAAGACAAGGGATGTTGAACAGCTCCCAGTGCCTGCACCATTCCGCTCAACAAAGACCTGTCCCACCAAAAATCCCAAACACCTGTGGAAAAACTCTGATATAGATAATAATGTGAGCTGCAGAGCTTTTGTTCAGTTTGTTCATTCAAAACATTATACCGTAGGATCTTCACACCAACGCGTGTGAAGAACCCCTTTAAAATCACCCTTGATTTGTGTGTTCCCTTTCTGACCGTTGGCTCAAATATTTGTGAAGATCTTCAGCCTATTCAGCAGCTATCGCCTTCACTACAAATCCTTCTAAAAACCTCTGTTTTTTCTTTTACAGTATTTCAGATCTGTTGACCACTAGCCAAAACAAACAGCAGTTTAATGCTGCAATTATACTTGGTATTACCGTTTTCTTGTATGGTAATGCAAACTTAGGATGAGTTTCATGTTTTTCAAGTTCCATAAAGAGATACATTTTATCTTATAGATGCAGATATCACTGCATTTTTTTTCTGTTTACTTGAAGTCTGGCAATTACTTAAATGTTCCCCAAATGTTCACCAGACTAGATGAGTTTTTGTGTAAAAATTCTAACAGTAAAATCCAAGAAATTAACCAAAACTAAGAAAATGCAGAAATATTTCCCATCACTTACATGAAGTAAATCAAGTTAGTAGAATTTCTCATGAAGCCAGAGAGCCTGCAATTTTTGAGAAACAGAATCAAAATAACCCTGATTGTCCTTGAAGCTCACATTTTAGCCACATTTGAGGCTTAAACTGGCTTATCAGGCTTGTGGAGATGAGGAAGTAGAAGAGGTGGGAGGAATTTTGTTGAAAATGCATTTAACTCTAATGTAATAACTTCAACAGATCAAAGTGGAGCCAGTTGTCCCAGCCCCAAGTCCGGTTATTCCCCGATTGACTCTCAGAGTTGGTGCTGGCCAAGACAAAATGTAAGTAGAAACGTTTTCAATTAGAGTGAAATAAACTGAACTTAACCTTCTCTGCTCTTTCCTAATGGGTTTAGAACTCTATAACCTCTTCCAGGTACGAACACGGAGGGTCAAGCTTTACTTTGGGAATTCTTCATTTTCAAATTGTATCGGTTTCTTCCTCAGAGGAAATGCCTATTGCTTTATTTGACATACAGGATCCCTTCTTTCTTCTCTTTCTCTTTTTTAAAGACATGACACTGTGTCTGCCTAATTCTTAAGGTCCTGGTTATCTGAAAAGGAAGAAACTATATATTGAGTGAACTAACTGCCATATTCCGCCCAGGTGGGTGCAATGTTATACCTTCTCAAGTATGTCTTCTCTACCCACCATGACAGAGAACGAGGATTCTCATGGTTTTATTCTGAAATAAATATACCTGTATATTCCGAAATAAGTATGTCTATAAATGAATTTATAACTGAAAACAAAGATACTGCCCAAGGCTTGGTGAAACAGTACATAATAGTAACAACTGAAGTCTTAATTACCAGCTCGTTTGCTTGTTTGTTGAAGAGAAGACTGGAAATGTGAACCCCGTGTTCACTGTTCATCTTAATTTTCACAGAATCACAGCGCACCCTTCTTTTAAAGTAAATTAGTCAGCTTTGTTTCTTTTAGTCACTTTTGGGATATGAATTAAATACTCTTACGCGATTTTAATAAGGTGGTAAAACATTTATTTTTGTAAATTATGTTAAAAATCATTCTTCTTATTGTAAAAATCATACTGTTTATCATTTAAATGAATTCCACAAGCTAAAAGTACTAGTTTACAACCTTATTTTTCACCAGTAAGCCTGAAAATGGATTTGTTTACATAGCAAACAATCAAAGATTGTGTAGAAAATGGGCTTCCAGGGCATTGAATTTTCATTCAGTTTTTAGCCATAATAATGAAAGTAGGAGCCATGCAGTTACATAGTGGGTAGAGTAGACAACAGAAAATATGCTTTGTGTTCTCAGTGGTTCATTCCATCTTAAAAGTTTGTATTTTATGCTGTTGCTTGGTGAATTCCAAACATAACGCAATGAAAAGGTCCAATATCATTATGACGAATGATGTTGTAGAGGCAAACATGGCCTTCCAGGGAAATGTATGTTCTTCTGAAGATTGAAAGAAGAAGAAGAAAATCCAGATAGTTCATCCTTTTCTCACCTAAATTATCCACATAATTTCCACATTACTCTTTTTGGTTATATCAATAGAAACCTAGACAGTGGGTGGTAGTGTTACTGACAAGCTTAGACAGTGTAACAAAAATACTGTAGACTCAGCTCTTCTTTAACCAGATACTGGTTTACCCCATGCCCTCTATTTTACCTACAAAAATGTGAATAATGTCCTCCTCTGTCAACCAGTAGAAGGCTGATTAGCAGGGAGACCCAGCCAGAGTAACTATTGATATTATCTTTTTGGAAATTCTGTACTTGGGCTCATCACTTGGCTCTGTACTTGGGGAAGATATTCTTATATATCATTCAACAAATACTTTTCTCTTACTAGTTCACATTTATGACTATTTTCTCAGCAGCTCACCATTACTTAATCTTTACTTCCAGAAAAGAGTTTGGCTTGCTTGGGGCGCTTGGGTGGCTCAGTCGTTAAGCGTCTGCCTTCAGCTCAGGTCATAATCCCAGGGTCCTGGGATCGAGCCCTGCATCGGGCTCCCTGCTCACCAGGAGCCTGCTTCTCCCTCTCCCACTCCCCCTGCTTGTGTTCCCTCTCTCGCTGTCTCTCTCTCTGTGTCAAATAAATAAATAAAATCTAATAAATAAATAAATAAATAGATTTGGCTTGCTCATTCTCTTTAGAGAAATAAGGTCTATGAAAAGACTTTGATAATAGTATTCCTCTCATCCACCCTTAAGCATCTTTCATTCATTCTCTTGACTATTTTTCTTCTCTCAACGAATCACCTAAGTTACTGGGAAACGTGAGAAATAGATCCTATTATCCTGGAACAGACTGTCCAGTATTAGGGAAACTATAATACTCAGACACTGTAGACAAATTGCCTGTGAGAGTATAACATTATATAATATGTGACCTTTCACATATTTAGGAAAATAACCCCCATGTTATAGGAATCATTAATCACTTGGCCAAAGTCAGACACAAGGGAATGCTTACAATAAACAAAGGTGTAAATTAAGTGAAATAGATTACATTTTAAATTAAAATAAGAGAAAAAACAGGCCCAAGTCACATAGTAATAGGATTTTATGTAAAATATATCTTAATCAGTAAAGAGCTTTTTTAAAAAAAATCTAAATCAAAGATCACACTATGGCCCCTGAGCCAAAATCTATCCCACTGCCAGTTTTTGGATGGCTCGCAAGCCAACAATGGCTGAAAAAAATTCAAAGAAGAATATTTTATGATGACACATGTAAATTATATGAAATTAAAAGTAATCTCTTATTGTTGTAGCATAAGGCTACATGGCTTTTTCCATGGCACTAATAATGGAAAAGAGGTGGAAGATTCATATAACTGTGCCTTTACTTAGTTTGTACACACTTGGGGCTACAGTACTCTTCTGAAGTGAAATTAATGAGCAGAGTGGGATTCAGAAAGGGGGGGCAGTCTGAATAGTCCGGCGAAGGGTTTGTTTATTGCTGAAGAACAGGCAGAGGATAGTCTTTTGAAATTATGGGAAAAAGGAAAAAGCTTTACAGGGTTCAAATTATACCCTCTCATTGGAAGATCTTTAAGACAATATTTAGTTTCTAAATTTTCCTAAATAAAGAAGGTCTTCTGCCCTTGATCCAGGAAAGTACTTTGAGGTTAGACTATTTCCTCTGTTCTCTGATGTTGTTCCTCGTAGCAAGACAGAGACGCCCTGTTTTTGCCTTCATTTAACATGCCTGGAATCTGTATTCTAAAGGGTCTGTGAGGGGAGTCCAGTGCCTCCACCAGATAAGCGTGAGAATTCAAGATGACTTTGCAAGGACCTCAGATTCCTTTGATATGTCCCCCAGGAATGGGTCTCCAGAATTGCCTTTAGTCAGTAATGAAGATGAAACCAGAATAGTATACCCCGAAATTATAATCCCCGCACCTATAAAGTTCGTGAGCAGTACGAGTGGGAAGCACATTTAAGTAAACTGCAAATACCTCAGCCTGGCCTAACTGTCAAGTAGGTCTCAGCTTGCCCAGGAACAGCTTTGCACCTGTGTTAATGAGGATGGTGATGTCGCACTTGTACTTGGGGACAAAGAGCAGGTTGAGTAGAGCGTCCACCATCACGAGATGGGCAAGGGGCAGCACAGCGTGGCCATCTTACTTGTCATCCCGGTCTTTACCATGGACTGAGTTAGTTTATGTTGAGCAAATTAGGAAGAGTGAGCTAACTTTTTTTTCTTTTTTTTTGAGTGAGCTGACTTATGGCATTCATTTATCCCTTCATTTCTATGAAGGAAATAGAGCAAAATCATGTGATGGGAGTATCTTGGGAGCTGGGACTGTTCAGACCGGCAGGAAGGACAGGGCAGAACAGGGCCTGCAGCTCTTCTAAGTTTAAATGGGTGTGGCTCCATGTTTAAAGCTCAAAATTCTGTTAAAGGAGCTTCTCATTAGAAGGAAAGATAATTTTAAATATTGGTCAAGTCTTAATAAATCAATAAATGTTGGTAAGGTATTAAGAAAAAAATTAAATGTATATAAAGATTGGGGTGGATAATAGCGGCAGGTATGGGGTTAGGCAAACCCTCCCGACCCTTGCATTTCTCAGATGCCTCGTCCCTGCTGCCTCTGCCAGTGCTGGGGAGGAAGTCTCTGTCTTTTTTGCCCTTCCCCTTGAGTGGAGCTCTTCCCTGATGAGTCCCCCACCCGTCCGTCAGCTCTGTTATTCCGGGTGGTCGATGGGGGTTACTGTGTTGGAGAAATTGTACACTGGTCCCTTTGCCCTCAGGACACTGGTGCCCTTATGCAGTGAGCTCACCAGAGAAGGGATAATTACTTGAGCTCCGCCCCTCAGACATCCAGTAATGGTTGGTCATTTTTTCCAATTACTCTCCGATAGTATATTTGATCAAGTGACACGGAATCATTTATGATGCCTTTCAGAGAACAATATTATTATCAATGATAATTCTAAATTTTCTTTTGACGGAGAGATTACAATAGCTTGTCTTTTTATAGATGTAACTCTTTTCCCAAAATATGCAAATTATACTGAGAATATTTTTCAGTGACCAGTTTACTGCTGGCAATTATAGTTTTCTTTCTGCCAACGTTTTGGTTTCCACTGTCAACACGGCCCTGAGTGTTTTCAGATTCCTTAATGATTCTGGAAACTCTTTCATTGATCAGACCTCTCTTAGCAGAGGTGCTGAAAATTGGATGCTTTCCTTTTTGTGTAAGTAATTCGGTTTTTTGTTGCAGTTTACGGAACTTAGTTATTTCTGGGAGGGGGCTTTTTAATAGTTGGAATTTCTAAATCATATGTACTATAAAAATGGGAGCTAAAAGTTTGCTCATTAATCTTAAAAAACATAAAGGGTTTAATCTTTAAAAAGAGGATATTTATAGATATTTGTTGTCTTTTTATGATCCAAACTTTCCTCAGTAATGCTTTTTGACAGTACAGCGAGAAAGTAGAGAATAATCATGAGCAATTACAGGAATAATCATTTAAAATATTTTTAAAGAAAATAAGCATTTTACATTTTAAAATGTAGCCAGGTTTAGCCGAAAGGCATTTAAGAGGGTGAAATGTGTGTTGTGGCTTTTATTGATAAGTTCTTTAGAGAAATAATAGCAACTGATTTTTATCCTACTTTCTGCATTTTCCCTCTTTATGTGAAACGTTGTTTATTCCTATATAATTTTTTTCCAGTCCAAACAAATTTATGGCAGCTTAGAGAGAGAACAATAAAGTTATTAGAAAAAAGGAATAGGAAACTAACACCAAGAAGAGGAAAAAGAAACGAATGATCGCGCATCAGGTAGGAT